TCATTGGATAGAACCTGGGGAATTCTTATGCTTTTTTTTCCTCATTTGTAGGATGTGGGCGTTGCTGGCTAGCCAGCGTTTCTTGCCCATCCCTAGTTGCCCCCTTGAGAAGGTGGTGATGAGCTGCCTTCTTGAATCACTGCAGTCCACCAGGCTGACCTACAATGCCATTAGAGAGGGAATTACAGGATTTTGACCCAGCAACAGTGAAGGAACAGCCATATGTTTCCATGGAAACCCCTCTTTGTGGAGTACGTGGAACATTCCTTGTTCCAGTCCTATCCCGGCCCCACCCACAACTCTTTCTCCAATACATCGATGATATCATCGGTGCTGCTTACCTCTCTCATCTGGAATTCGAAAACTTCATCAATTTCGCCTCCAATTTCCACCCTGCCCTCACTTTCACCTGGTCTATCTCTGACTCCTCCTTTCCCTTCCTCGACATTTCTGTTTCCATTTCTGGGGATAGACTGGCCACTAATATCCACTATAAACCCACTGACTCTCACAGCTACCTGGACTATACATCCTCACATAAGAGATAACAAGGTGTAGAGCTGGATGAACACAGCAGGCCAAGCAGCATCAGAGGAGCAGGAAGGCTGACATTTCGGGCCTAGACCCTTCTTCAGAAATCTGAAGCCCTACGGCACCTTCCCCTGTAACCGTCGAAGGTGCAACACCTGCCCATTTACCTCCTCCCTCCCCAATATCCAAGGACCCAAACATACCTTTCAGGTGAAGCAACACTTCACCTGCACTTCCCAGAATCTAGTCTACTGCATTCGCTGCTCACAATGTGGTCTCCTCTACATTGGGCAAATGAAGCGTAGACTTGCCGACCGCTTCACAGAACAGCTATGTTCTGCTCGCAAAAAAGACCCTGAACTACTTGTTGCCTGCTACTTCAATGCACCACCCTGCTCCCTGGCCAACATCTCTGTCTCTGGCTTGCTGCAGTGTTCCAGTGAAGCCCAACGCAAGCTGGAGGAACACCACCTCATTTTCCGCTTGGGGACCCTACAGCCCTCTGGACTCAATATTGAGTTCAATAATTTTAGGGCCTAAACTCTCCCATGTCCTAGCCCTCCACCCCACACACCAGGCCTTGTTACCACACAGCCTGCCATTACACACCTCCTGTTGTTAGTCACTAACAGTCCCCATTAACAACTACTCACCCTCCCAGCCTGATCGTTAGCAACTCCTTTGTCTGTCCAACTGTCTTTGGGCTCTATCCTATCGTTTACTCGCTAACCCACCCACCTCCCTATTTTCTGCATATAAACTGACGTTTTCCCAGCCACCATCAGTTCTGAGGAAGGGTCACCGGACCTGAAATGTTAACTCTGTTTTCTCCTTCACAGATGCTGCCAGACCTGCTGAGCTTTTCCAGCAACTTTGTTTTTGTTCCTGATTTACAGCATCTGCAGTTCTTTTGGTTTTTATTTTGTTTCCATTGTCAATATGGTGAATGGCTTGGAGGGGAACTTGGAGGTGATGGTGTTCCCGTATGTCTGCTGCCCTTGTCTTTCTAGATGGAAGTGGTTGTGGGTTTGGAAGGTGCTGTCTGAGGATCTTTGGTGAATTTCTGCAGTGCATCTTGCAGATAAAACACACTGCTGCTACTGAGTGTGGGTGGTGGAGGGAGTAAATGTTTGTGGATGTGGTGCCAATCAAGTGGGCTGGATGGTGTCAAGCTTCTTGAGTGTTGTTGGGGCAGAACGCATGCAGGCAAGTGGGGAGTACTCCATCACACTCCTGACTTGTGCCTTGCAGATGGCGGCCAGGCTTTGAGGAGTCAGGAGGTGAGTTATTCGCCACAGTATTCCTAGCTTCTGATCTGCTCTTGTAGCCACTGTGTTTATATGGTGAGTCCAGTTGAGTTTCTGGTCAATGATAACCCCGAAGATGCTGGTAGTCAGGGATTCAGTGATGGTAAGACCATTGAAAAACAAGGGGTGGTGGTTAGATTGTCTCTTATTGGTGGTGGTCATAGCCTGGCATTTGTGTGGCGCAAACGTCACTTGTCAGCCCAAGCATGGACAACTGATGAAGCAGCTGAAGATGGTTGGGCCGAGGATACTACCCTGAGGAGCTCCTGCAGAAATGTCTTGGAGCGGAGTTGATCGACCTCCAAAACCAAGACCATTTTCCAATGTATCAGGTATGACTCCAACCCCCGAAGAGTTTGCCCACTGACATCCATTCAGTCCAGTTTTGCTTGGGCTCCTTGATGCCACACTTGGTTGAATGCAGCCTTGATATCAAGGGCTGACACACTCAACTCACCTCTGGAATTCAGCTCTTTTCTCTATGTTTGAACCAAGGCTGTAATGAGGTTAGGAGCTGAGTAGCCCTGGCGGAACCCAAACTGGGAGTCACTGAGCAGGTTATTGCTGAGTAGGTGCTGATTGATAACACTGTTGATGACATCCTCCATCACCTTACTGATAATTGGGAGTAGATGTAGTCATGGAAGCCCAGTCTTGAGTTGCTAGATCTGTGTGATGCCTGTCTTATTTAGCATGGTGACAGTGCCACACAACACGATGGAAGTTATTCTCAATGGGAAGGCATGACTTTATCTCCACAAGGACTGTGTGATGATCACTCTGACCGATACTGTCACGGACAGATGCTTCTGCAACTGGCAGATTAGTAAGGATGAGGTCAAGTATGTTTTTCCCTCTTGTTGGTTCCCTCACCACCTGCCACAGACCCAGTCTAGCAGTTATGTCCTTTACGACTCAACCAGCTCGATCAGTATTGCTGCTGAGCCACTCTTGGTGGTGGGTATTGAAATCCTCCACCCAGAGTACATTTTGTGCCCTTGCCATCCTCAGTGCTTCCTCTATGTGTTGTTCAACATGGAGTACTGATTTGTCAGCTAAGGGAGGATAGTATGTGGTAATCAGGAGGTTTCCTTGCCCATGTTCAACGTGAAGCCATGAGACTTCATGTGGTCTGGAGTAAATGTTGAGGACTCCTACAGCAATACGCACCTGACTGTAAACCACGTTGTCACCACCTCTGCTGGGTATGTCCTGGCGGTGAGACAGGACATATCCAGTGATGGTGATGGTGATGTCTGGGATATTGTCTGTAAGGTACGATTCCGAGAGTATGACTACGTCAGGCTGTTGCTTAACTAGTTTGCGAGACCGCTTTCCCAGTTTTGGCACTAGCCCCCAGTAGTAGTGAGGAGGACTTTGCAGGGTCAATCGGGCTGTGTCTGCCGTTGCGTATCTCAGTACCTAGGTTGACGCCAGCTGATCCAGCCAGTTTCATTTCTTTGAGGCTTTGTAGTGATTGGTGCAACTGAGTGGCTTGCTAGGCCATTTCAGAGGGCAACTGCTGTGGGTTGGGAGTCACATGTAGGTCAGAGGGTGGCAGATTTCCTTCCCTGAAGGACATTAGTGAACCAGATGAGTTTTTCCCAAGAATCAGCAATGGTTTCGTGGTGATCAGTAGACTAGACATTTTAAAATAAATTATTGAATTCAAATTCCACCATTTGTCACGGTGGGATTCGAACCCAGGTCCCCAGAACATTAGCTGGATTTCTGGATTAATAGTCTATGACTAAGCCATCACCTACGCCTTTAGGTGCAGTGAAAGTGTTCCTACCACTGAGCTTGGAGACATGGATTTAAGTCTCACACTGTGACAGGTGTGTAGCGACATCTGATTCATACCTATGATTCTAATAACATCATTCCAGATTTCCACTCTTGGTGTGCCTTCCCCCTTGTACGAAGAAGTGTTTCCTGATGTTACCTGAGGCCTGGCTCTAAGCGAAAGTTAGCCCTGCCTTGTTGTTGCTCTCCCCTCCACCCCAAAGGAAATCATTACTCACCCTTCAATTTCACAGCACCTTTAACCATCTTAAAAATTGAGAAGCTAAGGGAAAACTGCTTGCCTGAACTCCTACACTCCAAGTGGTGTAGGTAGATCTGCAATGTTGCTGTGGAGGGCATTCAAGGGTTGCCACCCAGTGACAGCAAAGAAACAGCAAAATATTTCCAAGTCAGCATGTCGTGTGACTTGGAAGGCAACTTACGTTCCCCTGTATCTGCTGCCTTTGTCTTTCTCAGGGGTGGAGACTGCAGGTTTGAAAGCTGGTTTTAAAAGAGCCTTGCTAAGTTGCTGCCGTGCATCTTGTAGATGATACATCCTGCTGCCACTATGTGCCAGGCAAGCAGGTTGCTTTGTCCTGGATTGTGTCAAGCCTCTGGAGTACTGTTGGAGTTGCATTTGTCCAGGCAAGTGGGGAGTATTCCATCACGTTGCTGACCTGTACCTTGCAGGTAGGCAGACTTCAGGGAGTGAGGAGATGAATTACTTGCTGCAGTATTCCTAGTCTCCAACCTGCTTTTGTAGCCATTGTATTTATATAGCAAGTCCAGTTGAGTTTCTGGTCAATGGTAACCCCCAGGACACTGAATTTGGGCAATTCAGTGATGGTAAATGTGAAGGGGCACTCGACAATTTGACGTACAGGCAACGATACTAACATACAAGCCACCGCAGAAGCCCAGGCAATACCAGCGACAGCAAAGAGTAGGCGAAGATTTCGCAAGATGGGCCTAGAAGGAAGGGATTGTGGGTGAGGCCACAGGAACAGCACAAAAGCAGAGCATAACTGCGGTCTGTGAACAACTGTGCAAAATGTACTGGGCCAAGAAACAGAAACAATGAGGTGAGACAAAAGCAGCAGTGAAGGAAACGGCTTAAAAACTTTGCTTGTCAATGAAATCAATTATTGTTGCAGTACCTCTCACCGCACTGGTTGCTGGCCTGACAGCTCTTTTTAAAGGAATGTGGGTATCTCTGACAAGGGCATCATTACCCCTCCCAATTACCTAGTGGGCAGTTAAGAGTTGATCACATTGCTCTGTGTGTCTGCAGTCACATGAAAACCAGAGCACGTAAACATGGCATTTTTTTGGATAACAAATACCCAAATAGGTTTTTACAACAAAAACCAACAGCGGTTACATGGTCACTTTTACACTTTTTACTCCAGATTGTCATTGAATTACAAATTGCTAATATCTACCATGGTGGGATTCGAATGCACATCCTCAGAACATCGACCGGTGGTTCTGGATTACTAGTGCAGTGACACTATGCCTACAAGGGGAGGCTGTGGCGTAGTGGCATCCAACTCTTTGGGCTTGTTCAGCCTGTCCGCTCTGTCATAAATCCATCTTCCCAACGTAGCCACAACCCCAAAAATAAATCTATCCACTTTGATTACTATTTTTCCAGTATATCTGCATTCGTGTCTCTGTCTGTGTGTACGTGGAGTCCCAGATCTTTAGCACATTCTGCGTGAAGGAGGGCTTCTTCACATCACTCCCAAAGACCTTCAACTAATTTTAAAGCTATCACCCGTTGCTCTGGGCTCCTGCTACCAGAAGAATTATTTTCTACCTACCTAGCCCTCATTTAACCCCTCTGATCATCTTCAGCACCTGGTCTATGCTTGCTGCTGGATTTACTGTATGGCTTCCTACTCTGCAGAGATCAGTCTATGAAGACAAAGATTTGTTTCACTTCTTAGTAATGGAGCCACTTTCACAGGATGAAAAGAAGACACACACTACTGAATAAAGTGCAAAACAATGCTGCGTTTTAAATTCTCCATATCTCTAGAATGAAATACAGAAACTATGATTAAAACAAACTGTAAACAACTAAAACAGATTGGAGGATTAAAAAAAAAAAAAATCCTTTTCCTCTCAGGATGTAATCTGCAACCGTACTGAGAGTTAAAGTTAAATGCCAATACTAAACCACACTGGTAGCTACTTCAAGAGTGTAGAGAATTACTTGTGTTATTACATTAAACATACACACTGCACAAGGCGGGCAATATCTGCCTTGCTCGAGAGCAAGGATTACATAATTGGTCTGCTGTGCAGCAAGGATGTTAACAGCAAGGTCACAATAAAAGGGAGAGTGTAACAGGGAGTTGGGTATCTCAGCCCTTAACCCAAGGTGTGGGAAGAATTACTGAATCACTTTCAAACTAGTAAAACAAAGAGCAATTCTCACCACTCTGGCTCAGTAAAGGCCCCTTTGTAGTATCAATTTATCACAGATGAGACATTTATAATCTCAGATCCAGAAGGTTGTGCAAAAATTCACAATAGATTAAGCTTTTGATACAATAGATTAAAAAAACACAACTGTAACAGAAGAGACGTGTGTGAAATCAAAAATTAACGTGTTAAACTTTGGAGGGGTGATTTCCAACAATGTCCAGTCTTTCATTTTCCACATGGAGACAAATTAAACATATGCTTAGCAATCCACAACAAAGCTCAACGGTGCCAGATTATGGGCTGCTGACGTACAAATGTTTAACATTTAGTTCTCGCTCCCCCCCCAAACCCCACTGCTCTTTTATTTAAAAAAAGTGTTAACAGTGAAGAAGAAAGTAACTCAGGACAAACATGGCAAGCACAGACACAAGAGGAACGCCCATCAGAAATATGCCTTCATTCAATAACTTGTACAGCAAATCTAGTTAAGCACATAAACAGATAACGTCTAGGCCAGAATGTCCCGTAAACACTTAACCAGGAGGTTCCTGACTAAGCCGAATGCATTCCTGCTTTTCATTGCAGATCTCAATCTCCCTTCCACCATTCTCACCACTTCGCACGGTTTATACTTTAAAATTGAGTGGGGGGTGGGGGGCGGTGGGAAATGGATGGAGTTGGAGGACTAAACTAAATCTCAAACATGGGGAAGAATAAAGGTATCATGCAGACAACAAGCCACCACACAGACCAGGGAATCAACAGTCACACAGTTAATGGTCACCAGTTCATGTAAGACTAACCACTGCATCTTATGAACACACAAGTAACCCAATAACTAGATTGGAGTACAAATGATAACATGCACAAATAGTTAGGCCGCAGATGAAACTGTGTAATAAACACAGGGCATCAGTGGATCAGGTGTAGAGCACGTGGTACAGAATGAGACCAAAGTCCCATATAGATGCTCACCAACATCAAGTTAATCATTTCATCAATTTAATCAGTTTCAGGAAAAGTGAAAGTTGAGGTTATGGAATGAAATTGCTTATTAATTACTATGGGCAACCTATGATAAACAAATGATGCCTAAAACTATGTAATTCATTTTGCATCCTCTTGTATTTTGAATGTTTCCTGCAGGGAAATACTGGCACGTGATGGTCATTTTGTGCAGACACCAAACAAATGAGATCAGGCTGCTGGGTTATAGACAGCACATTCAAATTAATAACTTACTTGATAAACATAACTGTAGTAAATCATTTTAAATTGGACAGGCTTTTCTGGTACGGTTTGATTCTAGCTTCACAAAGGAAAAGCAAAATGCTAAATGGAAAAAATATATACATTAGCTTAATAAAGGGCACGTGCTTGCTTACTCTTTCTTCATTCTTGGGATCTTTCACCGTAATCAACTGTTTTGATTCATGAACAGGTTTCTGAAAAAGACCTACTATTATAATACTGCTAAATAGCTGTGAATATATTAGCACTTCACAAATTTAGCAGCACTCTGAAGTAAAAAGGCAAAGTTGCCATAGTTTTACCAGACCATGGGCTGCTCTCCCATTAGTGACAGAGCAGAAGTGGGAAGAACTGGTAGTGGTTTAACGTGAGGGTCACCACGTCTCACGTGAGGGGAGAGGTAGAGAAGGGAGGACCTTCATGGCAGCCTCAGCTGGCGCAGGAACTGAACTCTCGCTGTTGGCATCACTCTGCATTGCAAAGCAGCCCTACAGCCAATTGAGATGACCAACTCCCACATTATGAAGAGAAAGAGGCTATTTGACCCACTGTACCTGTGCCAGCTCTCTGGTAGACTTATCCAATTAATCACACTTACTGCTTATTCTCTATAGTTCTGAAATGGCTATTTTAGCAGCACAGATCCAACTCCCTTTTGCAAGTTACTAATAAAATCAGCTCCATCCACCTTTCTCTTCACTGCATTCCAGATCATAACAACTCGCGGAGTACAAATGGAGGGGCAATAGTTGTTGCTATCTGGGCAACAGCCATATTGAAATTAAAGTTGCCTGAACAAAAACAGTCATATTAAAATGATAGTGTTATTTTAAAAAGTCAAAAATTACAAAACCTGCTTCAATAAGCAGACAGATATTTTATATCTGGAGGACAAAGCCAACAGAGACAATCTGAACTGCCGGCCTAGATGACGTGCTTAAGATTTTAGAACAGAATAGAAAGCTAGAGACCACCTCCAAAGTTGCAAGTGCTGCCAACTGAGCAAAGCTGACACAAGAGAGATACCAAGCAGACCCCAACAAAGATTGTCCATGTCGATTAAGGGTCCCACCAGAAAGTGCATTCCATACATCAAGTCTCTCCCTACACAAAGAACAAAGAGGTAACATGCATCCATGTCCAATGCTTATGACTCAGTGTTACCTATTGACTGTCTACGTTATTTTTTATACCTCTCACAAGGACTTCCCCCTCAAAGGCAAAAAGCCTCTCGTAATCTAACACACACCCATTAGTCATTCAGGGAGGATGTCACCACGAACCATAAAACGCCCCTTCAGAGAATGCAACAAACGCAAAACTGCTCATCCCCTCCCCAACTCCACAGCACAGACAAAGAGAAAGCAGGTCAAATCTCAAATGCTGAGCTACGTTTACATTCAGGTTCTGATAAGTTTGCTCTCCTGCTCGGCATTTTGTTTTCACACAAAAAAAAAAGTGATACTTGATTTCTAAATCATTAGCACATTGTGGGGTTGTTGTTCTTCTTCGAGCAGAGAAGACCGAGAGGTGATATCACAGAGATGTTTAACATTGTGGAGGTAGGAGTTAAGAAAAACTAGTTGTAATGGCTGAAAGATCCACACCAGACAGCACAGATGTAATGCAATTAGTGAATAGATTCAACAGTAGCCTTCAAAAATAAACCTGTTAAAAACTCCAGCATATTTTTTCCCTTCCAAGTATGAGAGCAGGACAGTGGACAAACTGGATTACTTTTCACAAAAGTTGGCAGGAATCTGATGGACTAAATGGCCTCCTTCTGTGCTGTACTATTGTATGATGGCGTAGGCTTCCCCGGCTATTTCCTTATCCTTTAGTACTTGCTTATATGCTGTTCCTATTTGGCCTTGGAGTTGGGCCGAAAGGTTATCAACGTGAAATGCTAACTGTAGTGCCAACATTTTGGGTGATTTAGCTTTCCAGTACTGGAATACTTCGTGTGACCATGGTCTGAACAAAATTCTCATCTGGTGATTATCAGTCGTTTTACTGTATCATGTTGGGAAGCACATTGGGAAAGTGGGAAGCCATCTAATTATCTAATGTTACTTTTACTCATTAGGAAAACTGGAAAAGAACACCAGCACAGGAATCAGTCCTCTCTCCTCACTCTTCCTAAAATTATTCCAGATTTGTTTTTGTAGATTCACCATGAATATTGTGGCTTTGAATTGTTACAGTTGAGAGGCGTAGAGAAGAGGAAGGAAGACACTCATTATCATACCAGTCATGCAGAAGTCCAGCACTCTGACCATGAACCAAAGCATTAACCATGACAAAGGGTTTTCATCGAAGAGGTCATGCGGGTTCACAGTTCCACTTGCAGAAGTGAATAAAAACCTTCATGTGCTGAGCTGGTGACTGAATGGATTTTTTATTTCCAGAAGGATTGTCCACTTTGATGAGGTGCAGTCAGGTGCTCTTCGAAAGCCGACAGGAATTAAATAGGCCAAATAGCCTTGTTCTGTACTGTACTATTCTGCGATGTTGTAGATGAAAAATCATAGCTACTCTATCATCTCTTTCCCTCTATTATTTCCCTGCACTGGTCTGAAGAGGTCTAAGGAAGCTGGCACTAAAATGAATGACCAGAGAGATGGAATGAGAATCAACGATCCCCTAAATGGGCAAAGAGGCACTAAGGAAAAGATTTATTCGGTTTATTCCTGATCAGTTTTTATTTCCTGTCGAAGACACGGGAAGGAACAATTTTGAGATTTCTAAGCAGTTGACGGAGCCTGGGTTAACTTCAACTCAATGACTCAACAAAAGATACACACGGTACTTTGGTCATCAGTAGATGAAGGTACTCCATTATTTTTGGGAAGGTCAAGGACAAGGTTGATGAGAAGCAGACCCAGTTTGCAATTCCCAAGTGTTCAACTTTGGGTGCCAGTGGAGAAACATTGAAAAAAGACGGTCAGGATGAACCAGCCTCCCTGATGGTTTTCCAGAAAGGATAGTGGAGATACAAAGGTGTACCTACAAAGAATCTGAGGCTCAAACTGCAATATTAACAGCATATTTTAAAGAACATTGCAAGCTGGTTTGGGGGCACATGGGACAAGGTGATGTTGCAACATGACAGGTTAACAAAAAAAGTTATTACACACACTGCTGACATGACTTCTGATTATCAAGGTAGTCCTCTCAGTCACAAGCATGAAAATGGCAGTACAACAAGACAGGAATCACACCTGGCCCCCTGACTGTGCAAGTACAAGGCCACCTCTGTATCAGTACTTTCTTGCCAACTTGTCAGCTCTGCACAGCTCAGCTGAAATTGGTGCATCATGAAAGAGCAAGCAGAGTGAATACCAACACCACTGCATCAGCCTTGCAGCAGGAGGAAGGAGTTCAGTGCCTTAAAAGAGATTACAGTTAACAGGTTCTCTCCAGTACAACTGCAACATCCGTCCACCAAGATGCAGTGATATCGGGGATAGCTATACAACAAACCTCTTGGGTATAATCAACTCAAGAGACTTACAATGACAGGATGGGGGTGGGGGGGTGCAAATCAAAAAGAGGGAGGGAAAGAAGAACATCACTCAATCTTCATTCTGGCTGGTCGCTATATGTGGTTAAGAACATGCTACGCAATCTTGGATAATTTGCTGCCACCTGGCTACTGAGATATGATTTAAAATTCTTTCTGGAGGAAGACGATTGACAAAGATTTCCCACCAGACTGAAGGTAGATGGTGAACACATCATTTCAGGCAATGGCAATCTCTACCCTCATTAAAATACACTCAATGTATGGTCAAGAAACTATTTACCAACACACACCACACCTCCTTTTTGCCTCAAAAGGAGTAAAACTATCCAGGATGTTCCAACGTTCTTCAACATAAGAAAGAAGGCGGTTGTGGATTTGGTGGACAAAGACTGATTCAAATGCACGAATGTGAAAAAGCACAGGAAGAGGTAATGGAGCAAAATGAGCAGCTGATTGCCTTTGGAAAAAAAAGGAAAAAGAACATGCAATTCTTTCTCCCTGCCCTTCAACTTCGAGCCAAGCACAAACAATTCAGGAGCAAAATGAACACGTAAAGGTTCTGTCCCGGTCCATTGCTGCAGTTGCTGATAGTAGGCTTTTGCTTTGTACAGCAGCGTCCATGGTCTGATAGCTGAGAAACCCGAGCACTTGTAGCAGTATCTGTGCTGCTGAGATCAGGCCAATTTAGTCTCCTGGACAGCTTCTATCTGCAGTAATTGTTTGGTTTGATTCAGGACCCAGGTAATATTTGGTCTCTCTTGGGGGTTAGTCACCATTGTAGAAGTTAGCAGATGCTGCAGGGCCTGTGTATACCTACAACGTAAAAGGAGTAGATGAGAATTCAGTCAACACCAGAAAGGGCACACACAAAAAAAAAGGACGTTCCAGCACACAAACAGGCCGTTTGGCCACATAGGTCTATGCCGATGTTAAAATCTCACACAAGCTTCCTATCATTCCTTCCTCATCTAACACAATCATCATGTCCTCTATTCTTTTGCCTTTCAAGGAGTCATCTAGCTTCCTGGGGATTTGGTCAGCTCAGTTGGCTGGATAGCTGCTTTGCAATGCAGAGTGATGTCAACAGTTTGGGTTCAAATCCTGCCATTGGCTGAAGTTACCATGAAGGATTCTCCTTCCCAACCTTCCCCCCGACCTGAGGCATGGTGACTCTCAGACTAAACCACCACCAGTTATTTCTTTCTAATGACAATCTTACCATACAATGGGCTGCTCTATGTTTTTCACCCTAACCACTCTGGCAGCGAGTTCCACATTGTTACTACTCCCAGGTAAATAATTTTCTCCTGAATTCTTTACTGGATTTATTAGAGTCTCATATTTAAGTCTCAACCACCCCCACCCATGCACACACACGTGGAATCATATTCTTCACATCTCTCAGACTTTTGGAGTTTTAAATGACTTCAATTAGGTTACTACAAATATAAAAATATTTTAAACAGCAAATCATTTTTTTTTTTTTTAAAAAAAAAAGGACTGAACAACACCATTGCAGTGACTGGTCCTGCATTCCAGTTTGAAAAACACGCCACATTATTAAGAACCTACCAGGAATGGATTCTTTGGCCTGTCAAGTCTGCTTGTCCGTTCAACTCCATTTTCCCTTGATTCCCTGGGTAACCAAACATCAGGCTATCCCAGCCTTAAATATATTCAACAATGAAGACCCACACCCCTCTGGAGCAGAGAACTCTAATAATTCACAACCCTTTGAGTGAAGACATTTCTTCTCATTTCAATCTGAAACAAATAGCCTCTTATCCTGAGGTTGTGCCCTGGTCCTAGGCTGAGGAGAACCTCAGTATTTAACCTATCAATCCCCTTCAGAATATGATTATGCTTCAGTTACACCATTTTTCATTCTTCTAAACACCAGAGAACATAGAACAAATTCTCTCAGAGGCATCAATCTAAAGAACCATCTCCAATGCAGTATAACCTTCCTTCAGCGTGCACAGCAAAACTGTACATCATTTCAGGTGTTGTCTCGTTAAAGACACATACAATATAAATGTTTCCTCCAATACTGTCTCCTCTTCTAGGCTTTACTTATGGACAGGGAGAATGATGTATTAATCTGTTCACTTTAACATGAAAAACTTGCATTTATATAATGCCTTTCAAGAATTATTGATGTTGCAAAGCTTTTGACAGGCAATGTTGTACAAAGTTGCAATCTAACTTTTCTTTTGAAACCAGTGATTTGGCTGAGGGATAAATGCTTCTTTGGAATAATGAGCATGAAATCATATATGCAAGAATTAGTTGGGAGGTCATGTTAAGGTTGTACAAGACACTGGCGAGGCCTCTTCTGCAGTGCTGTATGCAGTTGTGGTTGCTTGCTATAGGAAGGATATTATTAAATTGGACAGGGCTCAGAAAAGGCTTACCAGGGTGCTGCCGGGAATGGAGGGTTTGAGTTATAAAAATAGACTGGACAGGCTGGGACTTTTTCACTAGAGTATAGGAAGTGGAGAGGTGACCTTATTGAGGTTTATTAAACTCACGAGGGGCATAGATAAGGTGAATAACAAGGATCTTTTCCCTAGGATGGGCGAATTCAATACTAGGGGGCAATTTTGAGAGGTTAGAGGAGACAGGTTTAAAAAAAGGACATGAGGGACAATTCTTTTTTTAAAAAAAAAAAAACACACAGCGGTTCATGTGGGAATGAGCGGCCAGAAAAAAAAAAAAGCAGAACGTACGTACAGTTACAACTTTTAAAAGATATTTGGATAGGTTCGAGAATAGGAAAGGTTGGAGGGATATGGGCCAAGCGGAGGCAGGTGGGACTAGTTTAGTTTGGGAACATGGCTAGCATGGACTGGTTGGACCGAAGGGGCTGTTTCCATGCTGTATGGCTCTATAACTAACCGATGCCCCCTCCTGCAGTACACCCAGTCTAGACATTGTGTTGAAGTCTCTGGAATAGGACTCCAGTCAAACACCTACTCATTTAAAGTGAGAGCTCTATGGAGGGAATCTCAGATAGATACCATGATTGTGCAGGTCAGTTCTTGCCTTCCTTTTCAGACGTTTGTTAGTGTTTCACCCTGACATTAATGATCTCTCTTGACAGAGCCCATTATTCATGATCCAAGTTCTTAGTGCATGGATATCCCATAGTCATTATATTTCTGCTGAAGTCCAAGTGACCATCACTTGGAAAACAGCAGCAGCAAATTCAGATACTGGGTTTGATAACAAGCACTGGAGCATTGTCTTGGTTCCATGCAATGAAGGACAATTGGTGGGAACTGTGCTGCTCCAATCTTTAGCTCAGCACTGTGGCAGAAGGCAACCCTTAACTTATGCAGGTTTTCAGTAACTATTTTGTAACTATGGTGTCTATTCTACCAACGTTAGTAGAAATGCGTGATTAAAACTGAGAGGGGGGAATTCAAAGCTGTTAACTACACGGCCTTTCAAACCATACTTTCAAAAACTTTGTGTAATAATTTGTTACTTTTTTCCCACAAAAGCAAATCCTTCTACAAACAAACTTTCCAACTGTCCTTACCTGCAGCCTTCTGGAATGGTTATTACATTCTGCACAGCCAACGCAACAGAATCTCCCCTGTGAAAGATGCCATCATATGGTCCTTCTAGGAACATCATAGCATATAACACGCAGCCTAGGGACTGAAAATAAATCAATCACTGCAAGGGACCAAGAACTGAAAGGAACTTATGTACATCATGGCACAGTCACACAATTCAAGGACTGAGAAAAGTAACAGTAAATAGCAATGAGTGAGTTGGAGACTGTACCTAGTTTCTGTGGAACCACACAAAGCATTTGGCAAATCAAGCCTGCACCAGTTCTTTCAAACAGCAATCCAGTTAGTCTCATTCCACTACTCTTTCCCATTCCCATGCAATTTTTACTCCGCCAGCACTTATTCAATTCCTTTTCGAAGACAGTATTATCCCAAACCAGACTGTCAAAACTATATCGTGTTTTGGCTAGGGATCAATAATATTTATTAATAAAGGTAGATAAAGTGTGAGGTCCAGGGACTAAGAGAACAAGACACAAAACTCCACAGTTTTGAACAAACAACTGTAAACTTTACCACACAATGTTGTGCAACCATGAATCCATTGTCAAATGTCAGAAAAACCCATCTGGTTCACTAATGCCTATTAGGGAAGGAAACGGCTATCCTTGCCTAGTCTGGCCCACATGTGACTCCAGACCCACAGCAATGTGTTTGACTCTTGACCGCCCTCTGGGGAAATTAGGAATGGGAATAAATGCTGGCCTAGCTACCGACTCCCTCAGCCCTTGAATGAGGGAAGGACAGCATCCTACCTACCCAAATGTCTGTGCGCTCGTCTATGATACAGTGACTTGCCACGTTGAAGAGTTCAGGAGCTCGGTACGATATGGTGCAACGCTGGGCTGCCCAGTCCTAGAAAAGAACAACTAAATATCAACATAGCAGTGAGTAACATGGAATATACAGTACTAAATAGGTCACCTGGCTCAAGCCAGTGTGTGAAAGCTCTCATCTTTCTTCATCTCATTTCTATCCTTTCGTCCCCTTGTGTTCATCTAGTTGCCTTGTAAATGCACCCATGATGGATACCCTGACCACTCTCTATGCCAGAGAGCTCCATGATTTCATGACTCTCTGGGCAAAGATGTGTCTTCTCAATTCCCCACTGGATATATTAGTGACTATCTTCTTTTTTTTGTTCCCTAGTTTTGGTCTCTCACATAAGTGGAAACATCTTCTCCACGTTTGTACTTCATAATCTCAAGATAACCCCTTAATCTTTGCTTTTCTAGTGATGTGAATCCAGTTCAGTCTTTCCTCTTGGGTCCAGTATTGTCCTCAATCTTTTTTATACCTATCCCACTGCTTCTGTGTCCCTTTTGCAACACAGAAACCAGAACTGTACACTGGGTAGACCATTCTTGGGAGTATAAAGTTTCATCCAAGATTAATGTTAACTTCTCTGCTTTTCAATTCAAACTTGCTAGAAATGACTTGTTTATGGTCTCGTTAACCTGTGTTACTATTTTCTGTGATTGATCTATCTGTAATCCTGGATCGCTGTTCTTACATCAAACATAGACCCACCTTTTCAAAGTGCACCATCTCACATTTATTTATGTTGCCACTAATTTGCCAAATATATATTAATTCCATAGTTTACTAATGTTGTGTTGTGTTGTGTTGTAGATTCCATCCTCTAATTTGATACTGTAGGTAAATTTTCAGAAGAGAAAATGGCTGATGTGTAAGGGCAATGCTTTATGTCAATGATCCTCTGAAATCTGCAAAGGTCGGTTGAATCTGGTTCTGTTCAGAGTAGCAGAGGTACCTCAGTTTTAATCCTGGCAGCTTTTATTCAATCATTCATCCATTGAACCAGAGGGGTACCAATATCCTGGGGGGGAAATTTGCTAATGCTCTTCGGGAGGGTTTAACCTAATTCAACAGGGGAACGGGAACCTGAATTTAGCTCCAGTGTACAGGAGGTTGAGAGGAGGGAGGTCATAAATAAGGTTTCAAGGTTGCAGGAGTGTACTGGCAGGCAGGAAGGTGGTTTGAAGTGTGTCTACTTCAATGCCAGGAGCATCCGGAATAAGGTGGGTGAACTTGCAGCATGGGTTGGTACCTGGGACTTCGATGTTGTGGCCATTTCGGAGACATGGATAGAGCAGGGACAGGAATGGTTGTTGCAGGTTCCGGGCTTTAGATGTTTCAGTAAGATCAGGGAAGGTGGTAAAAGAGGGGGAGGTGTGGCATCGTTAGTCAAGGACAGTATTATGGTGGCAGAAAGGACGTTTGATGACAACTCGTCTACTGAGGTAGTATGGGCTGAGGTTAGAACCAGGAAAGGAGAGGTCACTCTGTTGGGAGTTTGCTATAGGCCTCCGAAAAGTTCCAGAGATGTAGAGGAAAAGATTGCAAAGATGATTCTGGACAGGAGCGAAAGTAACAGGGTAGTTGTTATGGGGGACTTTAACTTTCCAAATATTGACTGGAAACGCTATAGTTCGAGTACTTCAGATGGGTCAGTTTTTGTCCAATGTGTGCAGGAGGGTTTCCTGACACAGTATGTAGATAGGCCAACAAGAGGCGAGGCCACATTGGATTTGGTACTGGGTAATGAACCAGGCCAGGTGTTAGATTTGGAGGTAGGTGAGCACTTTGGTGATAGTGACCACAATTCGGTTACGTTTACTTTAGCAATGGAAAGGGATAGGTATATACCTGAGGGTAAGAGTTATAGCTGGGGGAAAGGCAATCATGAGGCAATTAGGCAAGATTTAGGATGCATAGGATGGAGAAGGAAACTGCAGGGGCTGGGCACAATTGAAATGTGGAGCTTGTTCAAGGAACAGCTACTGCGTGTCCTTGAGAAGTATGTACCTGTCAGGCAGGGAGGAAGTGGTCGAGCGAGGGAACCGTGGTTTACTAAAGAAGTTGAATCTCTTGTCAAGAGGAAGAAGGAGGCTTATGTAGAGATGAGGCGTGAAGGCTCAGTTAGGGTGCTTGAGAGTTACAAGTTAGCCAGGAAGGACCTAAAGAGAGAGCTAAGAAGAGCCAGGAGGGGACATGAGAAGTCTTTAGCAGGTAGGATCAAGGAAAATCCTAAAGCTTTCTATAGGTATGTCAGGAATAAAAGAATGACTAGAGTAAGATCGGGGCCGGTCAAGGACAGTAGTGGGAAGTTGTGCGTGGAGTCCGAAGAGATAGGAGAGGTGCTAAATGAATATTTTTCGTCAGTATTCACACAGGAAAAAGACAACGTAGTCGAGGAGAATACTGAGATACAGTCTATTAGACTAGACAGAATTGAGGTTCATAAGGAGGTGTTAGCAATTCTGGAAGGTGTGAAAATAGATAAGTCCCCTGGGCCTGATGGGATTTATCCTAGGATTCTCTGGGAAGCTAGAGAGGAGATTGCAGAGCCTTTGGCTTTGATCTTTATGTCGTCATTGTCTTCAGGAATAGTGCCAGAAGACTGGAGACTAGCAAATGTTGTCCCCTTGTTCAAGAAGGGGAGTAGAGACAACCCTGGTAATTATAGACCAGTGAGCCTTACTTCGGTTGTGGGTAAAGTGTTGGAAAGGATTATAAGAGATAGGATTTATAATAGTCTAGAAAGGAATAATTTGATTAGGGATAGTCAACACGGTTTTGTGAAGGGTAGGTTGTGCCTCACAAACCTTATTGAGTTCTTTGAGAAGGTGACCAAACAGGTGGATGAGGGTAAAGCGGTTGATGTGGTGTATATGCATTTCAGTAAAGCGTTTGATAAGGTTCCCCACGGTAGGCTATTGCAGAAAATACAGACGCATGGGATTGAGGGTGATTTAGCGGTTTGGATCAGAAATTGGCTAGCTGTAAGAAGACAGAGGGTGGTGGTTGATGGGGAATGTTCATCCTGGAGTTCAGTTACTAGTGGTGTACCTCAAGGATCTGTTTTGGGGCCACTGCTGTTTGTCATTTTTATAAATGACCTGGATGAGGGACATAGATAAGCTGCAGAGCTGGGCTGAGAGGTGGCAAATGGAGTTTAATGCGGAAAAGTGTGAGGTGATTCACTTTGGAAGGAGTAACAGGAATACAGAGTACTGGGCTAATGGTA